AAGTCACGGGTCCCAGTCTCCAGGGCCCTTGTGCTGGCTTTCTGTTCCTTTCATCCCAATCCTGCAAATATGCTGGAAATCAGAAAGAAATTGTCTGTCTGTCCCTGTCTGGGTTCAGATTATCGACCCAGACGGCCCCTCCCAGAGGGCTCTGAAGAACAGTTCCTCTTGGCTGAGCCGAAGCCTGGATGGAGAGTCGCCATCCCGGCAGTCATGGCGGCTGCCTCCTGCCCAACCCAGGCTGAGGTCCCCGCTGACCCACCCACAGGCCTGCGAGGTGAGAGCGAGCACTGAGGCTGACCCGCCGCGGCCGCACAGCTGGTGTTTCGGCAGAGTGAGGACTTGACCTTGGGTCTGTCGGCGCCAGGGTCCCACTGAGAGTCTGAGACAGTCTCACTCCTAGTGTGCACGCCTTCACTCTCAGGGCTGGTCGGGTGCACCTGGGCTGGAAGTGTGCTGAGAGAAACGGAAGGCAGGAAGCCCTTGCTGGGATCGCAGAGGCTGGGGGACCGTGGGCCGTGGGCCGTGGGCCGTGGGCTGTGGGCCGTGGGCCGTGGGCCGGTCGCTGGTCTTGCTGCCTCTGCAGGCCTGGTGTCTGTGAGTGTGTTAGGTTGCAGGCAGGTCAGCTGTGTGGAGGGGTGCGTGCTGTCCCCCACTGGTGTCCTGACCCCCGCATCTCTGAATACAACCTTACGTGGAAGTAAGATCACGGCCGATGCACCTGGTGGAGATGCGGGGTGACCTGGTGAGAAGATCCAGGGAGAGCACCAGGGGAGGGGGGCAGCCACAAGCCAGGGGCCACCCAGGGCCCCCCCGATGTCGTGAGAACACAGGGTGGGTCTGAGGTTCACCCTGGGAAGGAGCCAACACCTTCATTTGGGACATCCTGCGTCAGAGCAAGGAGAATGCATTTCTGTTGTCTTAACAGTAGCCCGAGAAAGCTAGTCCAGGTTCCTAATCAGCTGGCCTTCAAATGGATGATTCTAGATCGTCCGAGAGGGTCCTTACAAGTGGAGGGGGGAGGAAGAAGAGGGGTGGAGGGTGCACTGTAGGACTCGGACAGCCCTGGTGGCCTTGATGGTGGAGGAGCCGCCCCACGCCAAGGACTGGGGCAGCCTCCAGGAGCCAGAAAAGGAGGCAAGGGAGCAATTACTTTGTGGGGTTCCCGAGAGGGGACCAGACCCCCTGGCCAGGGGGCCTCGTGTCAGACCTCTGACCTCAGAATCCTGACGTAGCAAATGTGTGTGCTCTGGGCCGTAAACGTTCGTGGTGATCTGTCACAGCGACAGGGCACGGCGTCTCCACAGTCGCCGGGCTGCCCACACGTTCTCAGCGCGGTGACGTGACCCCAGGCCCCGGCTGGCATCCCTATCTGAAATCCAAAATGCTCCTTGATCTAAATGTTCCAAGCGCCAATGTGATGTCAGAAACTCCACCCCAACACAGTCAGAACACAGGTGCACTGAAAGTGTAGAAAGTCGCTTTCGGCTCCTGTGCCTGGGGTGTATGTGAGACGTTAGTCTCACGTTTAGACTTGGGTGCCATCCACAAGATCCCTCACTGTGTCTGTGCACATACTTCCGAGTCCAAACCCCAGAAACCCTTCTGTCCCAAGCATTCTAGACACGACCTCTGAGAAGAGCTGCCGACTCAAATGTGGCCATCAACTGGCTCTTCAGGCTTTGGGGAGCACGAATGGAAGACGATAAAGCGCAGGTGGTGGCGGGAGCGGTCGCATCTCACAGGGCTGCAGCTGCTTTGCCAACTTGTTCACTTGGACTGAATGAGCGTTTATCACCATGTGCAGTGTCAGTGTTGTTCAGGTGTCATGGAACTTGGGGCTCCCGCAGCCGTGACTGTGAGAGTGAAATGGTATCAGCCACATGCACACAGAAAAAGAATTAAAAAAAAATCATTTTCTTTCCATACCTTGCTTTGTGCCAAGATTAGGAGCGAATGGTCAGGCCGAAAACCAGCTAAGATAAACCATGGAGAGCCGATGCCCACGGCACAGGTGTCCGCCCGTAGACAGCAGCTCCTGCAGACGGCTCCGCCCACAGCAGGCTGTGGGAACGTGTGCACCCGCCTGCAGGTGCCAGGTCTGAGCGCGAAGCTGGAAAGCGGCCTGTTGTCTCACCTTTGTCTCTTCCTTCGCGCCTGATTCTAACCACCCACTGCTCTCACCCGCTTTTCTGGGAGTTGTGGGAAAACGCACGTAAACTCTGCCATCCCCACCGTTCTTACATGCACAGCTCCATTTGCAGTGTCGCACACCCATCACCACCACCCATGCCCAGGAGGCTTCCTGCTCCCAAGCTCAAAGTCGACTCGGCAAACCCCCCGTCTCCCAGCCTCCACTCCAGCCCCAACCCCGGCAACCACGTTGTCCTCGCTGTCTCTGTGAACCTGACCTTGCGAGGTACCGCAAATCGGCATTTGTGTTTCTGCGACTGGCTGTCCTCTGAGTTGCCGTGCTGTGGCACATGTCAGACTCTCCGCCCCCCCCCCCCCCCGCCCCGGCCTGGGACCCTCTCCCCTTAGGTGGGACTTTTCAAGCCAACGAGGGTGCAGAGGCTATAGGAGACATCCAGGAGGGGCTGCTGAGCCTCACCCGGCATCTCCCCTGCCCCCCCACAAGGAGTGGCTTCTCTGGGCCACAGTTGCCACCGTGTTTGCTGGAGCACCTCTCCTGGCCATATGTCCAGGAACGGAGCTGTGCCCCAGGGCAGCGGGCGTGTCCTCCTAGGGTGGTGGACGGTTCCAGGAGTGCCACTCAGGCCAGGCCCTGGAAGCACAGCACATACAACAGAAGCAGAGACGAGGCTATTTTTTTAATTAATTAATTAATTTGAAAGAGTTAGAGGCAGAGAGAAAGAGAGGGTGTTTTTTTTTTTTTTTTGACAGGCAGAGTGGACAGTGAGAGAGAGAGAGACAGAGAGAAAGGTCTTCCTTTTGCCGTTGGTTCACCCTCCAATGGCCGCCACGGCCGGCGCACCGCGCTGATCCGATGGCAGGAGCCAGGTGCTTCCCCTGGTCTCCCATGAGGTGCAGGGCCCAAGCACTTGGGCCATCCTCCACTGCACTCCCGGGCCACAGCAGAGAGCTGGCCTGGAAGAGGGGCAACCAGGACAGAATCCGGCGCCCCGAGCGGGACTAGAACCCCTGTGTGCTGGTGCCGCGAGGCGGAGGATTAGCCTAGTGAGCCGCAGCGCCGGCGAAAGAGAAGTCTTCTAACCGCTAGTTCACTCCCCAGATGGCTGGAGCTGCACCAATCCAAAGCCAGGGGCCAGGAGTGTCTTCCAGGTCTCCCATGTGGGTGCAAGGGCCCAAGGACTTGGGCCATCTTCCACTGCTTTCCCAGGCCACAGCAGAGAGCTGATCGGAAGTGGAGCAGCCGGGTCTTGAACCGGCGCCCTTGTGGCTGCCCATATGAGCTTCACCCGCTCCGCCACAGTGCTGGCCCCGACAAGGCTGTTCTCACAGCTGGGGTCAGCGCGGTATCACCTAAAGGTATCGCCCTAAAGGCTGGCATTTGTATTCACAAAGTCAGTTACGACAGGACAGGACGGGAGATCTGGGCCAAAGTCAGCTCCTGAGAGTGAAGACAAAATAGGAGTGGGGGTGGAGCTACCAGAGGGGAGCGTGGCTGCTTAAGAGAGGTTGAGCCAGGCCGGGCAGCCTCACAGATCTCCAGAGAGAGAAAGCAGCACACGCCCACCTGCTGTTTCCCGGCACGCCTGGGCCGTCTCGCCCGTTTGATTAGGGAGCGAGCATTGGGACGGCCTGGACGCTCAGTCTATGCTGTTTAAAGACAGAAGTGGGGAAGGGCATAGATGTTAGTTGGGTTTCCCTAGGTTTGCGCAGTTATCACACTGAGTGGAACACTCATTCCCCCTGCCAGATCCCCGCCTCCTGCCGTAATCGGCAAGGTCCGCGTGCCACGCACTTGTAGCCGTTTATAAGCGGTTTACCCTTGGTGCTTGCGGCCATGCCCCTCGGCCGGTGCTGCGGCTCCTTGCCTCCCTCTCACAGGCCCAATAAGAGGAGGGTCACTTGCTGGACCGGGGTCCCGCGTCAGAGGACCCAGCCTCCAGGAGCCGCCACGGTGTCCTGCATGGCTGGACAGCAAGGCCTGGTCACAGGGAAGCAGGAACTGTTGGACTCAGGGGGAGAGACTGAGTGGCTGCCCAAGCGGGTGGAGCTGCACCATCCAGTGGTGATCTCTTGGGAGCTAGGATGGTTTAAGGACAGGAGAGAGAGCAAGGGCCAAGTTTGCCTGCTCATCCAGGGACCAATGAGAGGGAGTCTTTTAGGGACCTAGGTGTGACCTGAGCTGCTCCCCAGCACCTTGGGACCAACGGGGACCCTGACAGAAATCCAGATCATTTCAGCGCTAGGAGGCAGGTGAACTTGGAGATGAGCCCTGTCACACCGCACGCCAGCCTTGAGGTCACGGCCACTGTTCTCATGGGCAGGGAGGACCTGGCACTGGGGTCCTTGGTCAGGGGCTGGGTCGGTCAGCTAAAGGTGCAGGAACCAACAGTCCCAGCACCTCGGGGTGGGGGGGGAGGGTGCCAGCGGCACACCGTGTCACTGCCGACCTTAGGCGTAGGCACAGTCCCCTGCACTGCCACCTGCTGTTGGTGTGGCGAAGGACAGGAAGCAGGGAGTGGCAGCCAAACCAAGGAACTGCACGCAGAGCCGTTGCCAGGACACAGGCAGCACAGGGCCACTCACAGCCCTCTGAACAAAGCATGCCCGTGACCGCAGGCAGAGGGGAGTGGCCATCGCGAACAGCGGCTCAGCCTGACACAGCCGTGTCGCGTGCTGAGAGTCACTGAACCAGCCCCACCTGCTCCGAACCTCTGCAGTTGATTGCAAAGCTCGCTGGCTCTGTCTCCCTGCCCCCACCAGGGGGCGCCAGCCATCCAGAAGGCCCCTGGGGCAGCAGGGAGCTGGCCTCCCCCAACGCTCACCGTCTCTCTCCTCTCTCTGAGCAGGTGGGTGGCAGGCCCGTGGAGCTCCTGCTCGGCCACCTGTGAGAAGGGCATCCAGCATCGGGAGGTGACCTGCGTGTACCAGCTGCAAAATGGCACCCACGTCGCCACACGGCCCCTCTACTGCCCGGGCCCCCGGCCATCGCCAGTGCAGAGCTGCGAAGGCCAAGACTGTCTGTCCATCTGGGAGGCATCAGAGTGGTCACAGGTGGGTGCCTGGGTTGGCCACTGGGGCTGGACCGACCATGAGGGTTAATGGGCCTTGCCTTCGGGGACCCCGCACGTCCCAGTCACCCCAGGGTGTTTGTTACACACCCCCACGTTATCACAGAACTCACCCACCTCCAGGTCAGCGCAGGGCTGTGTTCAAGTTCACGTGTTCTTGAATTCCAGCTGACATCACAGCATGGCTAACAACAGGTGGCTGGCGTGTGTTGGATGATGGATATGCCGATGCCAGGCGGCGGCACTGCCCTGCAGGCACGAACCGGCCTGCTGGTGCCCCCTGGGCAGAGTTGAACTGGCGTGTGGGCCAGGTGGGCAGTGGATTCCACTCTTTGCTTTACCTCCGCTGCAGGTTTTTGAAGCTGACACCGTAACTGTCGGTATTTCTGGGTTGCACTGTGACACTGGACACGTGGACACCGTGTGTAGGAAGCAGGTGGAGTGATGGGTTTATCCCCCACCTAACATTCACCATTTCTGTGATGCACAGCAGTCCTTGTAGGGTGCACGGTTAGAGGTGGGAGGGAGGAGTTTCGTGTGCTCGCTGGAGCCCCAAGTCTCACGCCGGGAGACGCTGTCGGAAGAGGCTGGCTCCGGGGACGTCACTGTGTCCTTGGTGGTGTCGTCCCTGGCAGCAGTGATTCTGATTGACTGGCTGGAACGCAAACCCAGTCCGTGGCAGCACAAAGGGCGCACTAGGAAGCTCAAATAGACGAACTCCGAGACACTCTTCAGTGTGCAAAATATTCTTAAAGTTCCCTTGCATTGCCAAGCAGAATGAATTATTTTAATAGAAAAGTACTCAGTGTATTGTTTTAAAGCTTTAGTTTTTATTTGAAAGGCAGGGTTGGAGAGGGAGAGACGGAGAGAGCTTCCATCTGCTGGTTCACTCCCCAAACAGCTTCAACAGCCCCAGCTGTAGCTTCCTCCAGGTCTCCCACATGGGTGCAGGGCCCAGACACTTGGGCCATCTCCCACTGCTGTCCCAGGCGCCTTCGCAGGGAGCTGGATTGGAAGTGGGGCAGCCGGGACTTGAACCGGCGCCCAGATGGGATGCTCATCTCAGGCAGCTTTGCCCACCTCGCCCCACACTGGCCGCCAGTCCGCTGTTGGGTGAAGGAACGTCTGCCCCGAGCACTGTAATGCTGAGCTTCATTTTCCAGCAGGCGTGGACAGCTGCCCGTTCGAAGGCCTGAATCGTTACCCTTTTTGATGTTTTAGGAAAAGGAGAATTTTTTAATGTTCGGGGTTTTTTTTCTTCCATTATGTGTCTAGGTTTCTCATTCAAGGGGTCATTGGTGGGGGCGGGAGATATTTGCTGGACCAGTGGAGGCCAAGTGTGCAGCCCCGCCTCTGCCCCTCCCAGGGCGGCCCATTGGCCCTGAGTGCCCAGGGCTGAAGATGACCATACTGGGGAAATGTGAGAGAATTGGAACAAGGTTTTTAAAAACCCCTGTCTCTGTGCATCCCCAGTGCTAACTCTGAACTCGCGTCCTCAGCGGTCTCATTGTGGCTCAGCCCAGGCATGGCACTCGTGCGCGTGGGGGCCGCGCGTCACTCACCCTGGCAGCCCCCTCCAGGCCCCTCCCACCCTGGGTCCCAGGAAGGAACTGACCCGCCACAGGGAGCGTTGTTTTCTTCTCATCCTTGGCACCCGCATGGAAACAGCCCCTGGAGCACCCGCGCCGAGGGCTCGCCACACGCCTTACTTCTGTCTGTCCCATCCATCCGGGTCTTTGTCACTCACACCTGGAGGCCAGCCGGCCTTAGGCCTCTGGTTCTGCAGCCTCCACTTGCCCCAGCTGCCCCGACTCCTGCTCTCCCGGCAGAACACCAGGCACTAAGTCCCACTCCCCTCGTCTGACCTGCTGGGGCCCAACTCCTTCCTATCCTCACTCCTGTGTCCCTCCCCACCCCGGCCACTCAGCTGGGGGTCCCGTGGACAGAAGACCCCAGACCCGGGGCTGGCGCAGCGGGGCCTCTGGGCGCTGAGAGACCGGGTGGTGTCTTGCAGTGCTCTTCCAGCTGTGGGAAAGGCCTACAGAAGCGGACAGTGACGTGCACCAACTCGCAAGGCAAGTGTGACGCGTCCACGCGGCCGAGAGCCGAGGAGGCCTGCGAGGACTACTCGGGCTGCTACGAGTGGAAGACGGGGGACTGGTCCAAGGTGAGGAGGGCGCGCTGGTGTTCCGGTTCCACCATGGTGCTGGGGGGGCTCACGGCTCTCACGATGGGCCCCGGGCAACCTGGCAAACTCACTCCCCCAGTGCCGCGCCTGCACGCGTCCCTCCTCGTCTCCTGTGGTCGCAGCCAGTGCTCCTGTGGCCATGGCTGGTGCTGCCCACCGCCCCAAGAGCTCGCTGGGCGTAGCTCACTGCTTGGGGTACACCAGGAAGGACACCATATGCAGCCCAGAGGCTCACGAAGGTGCTGCGGGTCCAGTCTGTCCAGGTCAGCGGGCCAGCTGGGCCCCCCTGCTGCCATGGGCCCGGCCTGCCCGTGGAGCCTTGGGCAGGGCAGACTGTAGCGGGCTTCGGACAAACACTGATGCTGTTCATCCCCAGGCTGCTAGGCAAGGGCCTGGAGGGTGTGGGGGCAGATGGGGCGGGGTGGTCGGGGGAGAGAAAAAGGAGGGGCGTCCCAGAGCTGGAGCCGGCCTCCAGGGCAAGGAGGCCAGACTGTTCCCTGCCTCCCCGCCTCCCCGCTCCGTGGCCATCCACCTGATACCTCTGGGTTTCATCTCCCTGGGGACAGAGGTGTGCGTAGGCCCATCGTTCTCCAGTGGGCGTTCAGAGACCTTCCCACAATCCGTGCAGCCCGTGTGTGTCTGCGCTGCCTGGAAGAGGCCCCTGCATGCGTCTCCTGTTCTGTGTTCACTCACAGGTTGCAAGCTGGTGGCCCACGAGCCACTGGGGCCCCCGGGTCGGCACAGTGTCTGAAACACTCCAGAGCCCATTTCAACGTGGGCACATTCCTCCTGCAGATTTGCACTTGGGCTTCACTGCAGGAATCTGGCGATGCGGCCCAGGCAGGGGCTTTAGCTGCTGTCTCCAGTCTATGGCGGGAAATGTGGCTTGGCCATCGGAAAGCAAATCTCACTGGATGTGACCTGTGCAGACTGACCCCTCCCCCGGCCCTGCAACCCAGGCCCAGTGCCAACCCCTGCCAACCTTCCCAGGGCGAGCGGGCGGATCTCCCGGGTCTGGTGGGCCGCGCTGTGCTTGGACGCAGCCTCTGGGTGGCAGTAGTGAGCCTGAGGCAGGCCAGAGGTGCCGCCTTCCCGTTGAGCCCCTGGTCACAGGTCCTAACCAAAGCAACCAGCGGGCCAGCTCTGCCCCAGAGCAAAGGCAGATCACACGGAAACGTGGGCATCTAAAGCTCAGCACGGGGCTGCTGGCCGGCGTCTCGCAGAGGCTGTCACAGCACAGCGTGCGTGAGAGCCCACAGGGACAGAGACACTGAGGGCCCGGGCCGCTCTCACTTCTGCGGCTGTGTCTCAGCCTCTGGACCCCTGGAACGGGCAACGTGGATGCTGCTCCTGCCTGCTGCTCTGTCGGGGACGCCGAGAGGGTTCAAGGTGCCCAGGACGGGGGACGCAGCCCGTGCAGGACGTAAGAGCATCTCACGGCCCCAGATCCTCTGTCACCAGGCACGGCCCCACGTCTAGCCCGCTCTGTCCTGATGTGAATGTGCTATCAGGAGGGCTCCCTGGCCTTGACGGGCGCTGAGAAATGCCGACTCGTATCCAGGCACATCCGGACCCATCTTAAGAAAGGTTGCCAGGCAAGAGACCGGGGGAGGGAAGGGCGTGACCTCTGATTAGGTTTGGGCTCTGCCCCATAAGCAAAGCGTCCCCCAGTGTCTGAGTCGGGATCGCTTAGAGAAGATGCAACTTCATGACACCCAAGTGGTCTGAGAATCGGGCGGATGCGGGGGACGTGGTGACAGAGGCCGTCGTGGGCACGCCCCGTGTCCAGGCATGACTGCACTGAAGCTGTGTTCAGCTGGGGAAGCGCAGGGTCCTAGCGGCCCCACCCCCTCCTGTGCCGCCACTGCCTCCTGCTGCTGCCGACGACCTGGGGCAGGAGGCAGAGGCCAAAAGCCGTCAGTGCCAGCCTGAGCCCTCTTTGTCTGTCTGGGGCTGGAGGGGTGCTTGGCACTCACTTCCTCTTTGTGGTGTGCCCCTGTCTCTCATGTCACCTGTCCTCTCTGGCCAGGGCTGTTGCCACAGTTGTGCAGACGAGGAGACAGGCTCAGAGTGGTTCAGTGACCTGTCCACTCTCCTCTGGCTGCAACCAAGCTGCTGGGCTCCGTGGCCAGGCCTCATGGTGCAAGGCGTAGGCGGTGCTGGGCTCCGTGGCCAGGCCTCATGGTGCAAGGCGGTGCTGGGCTCCGTGGCCAGGCCCCGTGGTGCAAGGTGGTGCTGGGCTCCGTGGCCAGGCCCTGTGGTGCAAGGCGGTACTGGGCTCTGTGGCCAGGCCCCGTGGTACAAGGCGGTGCTGGGCTCCGTAGCCAGGCCCCGTGGTGCTAGGCGGTGCTGCCTGAGACAGTACTGGGTGGCTCCCCCCCCCGTCGCTCACAGGGCCCTCCGTGGCCTGATGTCCTACACACATCCGGGCACACACGGCCCACCTGGAATGCCCTCCAAGCGACACAGTCTTCTGTTCGGCCTTCCTCCCTCTCCTAGCCATGCCATGCTGAATAACACTTCCTGGCTTTCCAAGGAGTAAAAAGCCCTGGGAGGCCGCTGTGTCCACTTCTGTCATAGCCGACTTGACCGATTGTGCCGAGACATCAAGACCTCCCCCACATCTTGGCCACTCTCCAGGGCTGGCATCTGAAGGCAGCCAACGAGTGCACCTGGGACAGCCGGGTGTCAGGAGCCAGCCCCTACCCCCGCCGGCAGCCGGTGTGGCCAGGGTGGCATCTTGGCTCTGTGCACCACTGCCACGTGCCCAGCTTCGTCCCCCTACACAGAGAGCAACGGCAGGGCCTCTCACCTGGACGCCTGTGTGTACACGCGTGTGCGTGTGTGCGTGCACCTGTGTTCCTGGTGCACCGGGGGCCAGTTAGCAGGTGTTGCCCAGAAGTCAAATGTGAGAACCTCCAAGTGTCTGCCCTCCCACCCTCCTGCTGCTGCTGCCATCACCGGTGTGGGGAGGTGCCCCCTCCACAGTGTGGCAGTTTGCCCATCCTTTCCCGTCTCTGCTGTCTCTGGGGACCCCCGTCCTCGCTCCCTGGGGGAATGAGGCCAGCATGGGGAGACAGCACAGGATGGCTGGGCCCTGGACTTCTCTCCCGAGCGGACTCGTGGGGTCTGCTCTGGTCGCTGTCTTCCCTGCTGCCCGCGGCAGTGGTGCCATTGTTGCACTCGGCTCTGTTGCATGTGTGAGCCCGTCACCAGGGTCGCGTTCCCACAGCCGGCTCCGCAGCTCGCGTCAGCAGGTGTGTGACAGGAGTGGGGGGGGGAGGCAGAGGGCAAGCCCTGTGGGAGCACCCACGAATCTGTGATTGGGTTTGTTGTTCTTGTTAAGGATTTATTTGCTTATTTGAAAGGCAGAGTTGGGGCTGGCGCTGTGGCGTAGCCGGTAAAGCCGCCGTGCTCTGTCCTCCAGCTCCTGGGCTGCTACCTCGTGGGCGGTACGGAAGTGGGATCACACAAAGCTGCTGCATGTCCTTGAGGTCCAGTCCCCGTAATCCACTCGTCTCACTGCCAAGTCGATTCCCTGGTGTGCATGTACTGCAGTCTGCCCACTGCGTGCTCCTGGGGGACACTGGGGCACTTCTGAAAATGTCTAGTTATGTCACCTGCTAGAGAGGCACAGCGACAGTAGGACAAGGAGCTTGATCTTCCTCCTGTGAGTTCACTCCCTAAATGTGCCGCAGCCAGGGCTCGGCCAGGCTGACGTCAGGAACCCAGAAGGCCGTCCCCGTCTGCCACGTGCCTGCAGGGACACACACGTGGGCCGTCATCTCCTGCCACCAGGATGCTTGGCAGGCAGCTGGATTGGATGTGAATCAGGCACTCCAGTGTGGCATTTGGGTGCCCCAGGCGGGTAAAGCCACCGCCTGCAGTGCCAGCATCCCATATGGGCGCCGGTTCTAGTCCCAGCTGCTCCACTTCCCATCCAGCTCTCTGCGATGGCCTGGGAAAGCTGTAGAAGATGGCCCAAGTCCTTGGATCCCTGCACCCACATGGGAGACCCTGAAGAAGCTCCTGGCTCCTGGCTCTGGATTGGTGCAGCTCTGGCCATTGCGGCCAACTGGAGAGTGAACCAGCAGATGGAAGACCTCTCTCTCTGTCTCTCCTTCTCTATGTGTAACTCTGACTTTCAAATAAATAAATAAATCTTAAAAAGGCAGAGCGATGGGGAGAGGGAGGGGGAGGGAGAGGGAGAGGGAGAGAGATTGTTTATCCATCCTCTGGTTCATGTCCCAAATGGCCATAATAGTCAGGGATGAGCCAGGCCAAAGCCAGGAGCCAGGAACTCTCTCCGAGTCTTCCACATGGGTGACAGAGGCCCAAGTTCTCGGACCATCTTCTGCTGCTTTCCCAGGTGCATTAGCAGGGAGCTGGATTGGAAGTGGAGCAGCCGGGACTCGAACTGTTGCCCTATATAGGATGCCAGTGTCCTAAGTGGAGGCCTAACAGGCTGTGGCAGCATGCTGGGCCCCATGGATGCGTTTTAGGGCCCAGTGGCCTGGTGGAAGCTCACAGGCTGAGCAGGTGCCTGAGCTGTTGGGATTGAGGGAGCTCGGGTGGGTGGAGCGCTGACATCTCCCACTCAGCCCAAGTGAGTAGCTCAGCCCAAGGTGCTATTTCCGGGCAGTCCAAGAATGAGCCCCAGGTGCCGACCCGGGGCTGGCACCCACCTTGCTGTGCAGGGGCCTGAGCCGGCTGCCTGTTGAGCAGGGCAGGTCCCCAGGGAAGGTGAAGCCCCCCTCCTCCTCATCCTGGCCAAGCCCCAGCCAGGGCCGTGAACGAGGACCACGCGCCACGCCGCTCTCCCTGCCCAGGGCACCGCTCCCGCCATTTGGGAAGTGGCCCACAGCTGCGTTCACTGCTAGGCTGTGGACTCTTTCCAGAAAACCGTGCAAATGGTCATCCCACCCACTGGACGCTGGGTCCACGTGTGCAGCCCGAGGCCGAGGCTCACATGAAATGAA